ATGCAGTGAAGGCCATGCAAACTGATTTTTTTCCCAGATAGCTTACCTCAAAGTCACCCAGCAAGCAAACTGAAGGGGAAAGTGAGATTTTACAACCCAGGCACAGTGATAAGTCCTTACATACCTGTACCCAGAACCTCTGAACCGGCATGCATAACCATAACGCGTGAAAATAATCATCAAGTTGATTGCCTGTGCACTGTGGACAGATGTTAGATTGTATAAAACCCATCTTGAATAATCTTTGACCTGTATAGTGCACTCTGTGGAGGATTTTGTATTATATTAATTGTAAATTGGAGTTTCTAATCATGTTAAAAGTTCTTAGACATATCTGAGCCCAGATGTGTTGTTCAAAGCTGACTGATAAATCCTCCTCCCATTTAGTAATAGGAAGAGATATTGTATCATCCAGTTTAGTCAGTGTCCTGTATAATTTAGACAGTAGTTTAGGGGGGGGGTTAACTCCAGGAACTCTGATATATTAGTTGGAAACAATTAATTCAATTTGTTTCTAATTATAGCTTTAATTTACTCATATTCTAAGAATTTATTTTTGTTAATGCCATATTGCAGATTTAATCTCGCAAAAGGTATAAACTCTGTACCTTCAAATAAATAATCCAGATAGTTAATACCTTTATCTGCCTGCATCTCAAGGCACTTTACAGTTCACCTGATTGATTTAAAGTTTTCTATCTAAGGAAAACCAGCTGATTGCATCGACTCATTGACTCTTCAGCAATCCCTCACACTAAGCATGCTTGTAGCGACAGTGGAGAGGAAAAACTCCCTTTGAACAGGAAGAAACCTCCATCAGAACCAGGCTTTAGTACACTTACTATTTTAGGGAGGGAAAAAAAAAGTAATTTAGGTATTTTTTACAAAGTAAAATCAAGTAGTAAACAGTATATCTGGTTGTGCAGATGAGCTGATAGCACAGATCGTGGTAGCGGTACGGATCGGGTATTGACTGGACCTCTTGTGTTTGTCAGCAAACCAGGATGGTAACGGCCACTCGTATTGTTTCCATTTCAGCCCTTCATCTCTAACTGAGGGAATCAGAGCTCTGCAGCCACCTGAAGTCACACAGACAAAAGCTGCCTGTCAACACAGCCGTTTACTTCATTTCTTCAAGCGCCTCCTGTTAGCTGGCGGTCACAGTAGAGAAATAGGTTCCTGGTTTCAGAAATTAGCATTGATCAGTGCGCTGTGTTGGAACAGCTCAGGGGAAATGATGTACCCACCTTAAAACTTGCTAAACTCAGTGACCACTGTGTTTTGCTGTGCATGAACGCAGCAGGCTTCCTCATTGATTTTTTTTTTAGAAGCTGAGGTAACTGTCATAATGCAGCGATGATGAAAGACCAAGGAAATGTGGACGGGCACTTGAGAACCACCTCCTGTCCATCTACTCTTTCAGTTGCACTCACCTAACTCAGCATCTCCCCACGTCTGTCTCAAGTGCCGCATCATTTCAGAGGCATCAAAGGAGACACATTATGCTTTTCAGGGTTATTTCTTTCTGCTCCGGTAAATCGGCCAGCTCTAAAAACCTTGAAGTGTCCAAAACTTTTCAAAACAGGGATTTTTTCCCTCTAACTGAAACATGTCTCATATAGTCTGGAATCCTTTGCTATTATTTTTCCATGCAGCAGAACCACCATGTTTGCAACAGTCTGGCTACATGTCTCTATTCTTTACAGAAAAGCTGCTTTTTCTGATAATATTCAGATGAAAACAATTTCTGGTTTGGAGCAGATTCAGCTTCTAATTTGGTGCCTCACTGACTTTGCCTAGAAACTGGTCCCAAAGCAGCAGCGGATGAACTGATGGGAGGAGTGTTCATATTCATCTTCATCAGAGGGATGTTTCTATGAAAGTAAACTGAAAAAGCTGAACATGTCAGGACTCAGAATTCGAAGCAGACAGACAGGTGTATGAGGTAAGATCACTGTCAAAATAAACTTGTGCATAAAAGCATAGTTGTGTGCATTTTAGTCAGAAGTTGTGCATAACAAAAATTTGTAAACTCATAATAATTGAAATCTCATTCAAAACATGCAACATACAGTTTAAATAGTTACAACTTCAATAACAAATAAATACAAATTTCAAGTTTAAATTTGTGCTTTATTCTTTATGAACACAAACAGCAGCGGCTGTTTGAGAATACGGATTTTTTCTTTGAGAATACGAATTCACAGCAGTGGTCTGACGTCACGGTTTCCAAGGCTGGTTAATGGAGCACAGAGCAGGAAGATAGGAGCCGCGCATGCGTACTATGTGTTCTTTCAACTTAGTAGCGGCAAGATGACGGACCAGGAAGCTACGGAGCAAAGCCAGGTAATGGCTCTGTTCGAAAACCTAGGACGGGTCCTCCAAGGACGCGTCTACCTAGACTGGATCCTTCGAAGTCCTTGAAAATAAGGAGACCGGAAGAGTTTTGGCTGTGAATTCGACCAGGTCCTCCCTTCGGCGGGTTTTACCGCCGTATGCTCTGTTGCTTAGCAACCGTAAACGTTGACACACAAAGCAGGAAAAGAATGAATACCGAGGTTTTCAAAACTGTTTATTTATTTCTTTTTTATTGTGAAGTGAACAAAGACTACACTCACAAGAATCCAGAATGGAATAAAGGTTCCAACCACCGGGAGCAGGAACTAATCAAATCAAATGTAATGATAGAAACCTTAGTCAGTTTAATAACCTGCTGCTGTCATTCTGCACATCTCTGATGTTGCTGCTATTTTCAAATATCCATGACTGTAAAAATGTCCATAGCTGCATATTGGTTATTTATTCCCCAGTTTTATATTGTTAAAACACTTTACAGTATTGTATTGTTTATATTTTAACTCTTCCCTATTATGTTATTCTTAGACATTTTTCTAAGATCCTCATTTGTGTGACCATTTTCAATAATCTTTCTGCTGCTGTAAATCTGCCCATTGTGGGAAAATAAAGAGATTTTCTATTCTTTTCTATAAAAGGGGTAGAAATATATAAGTAAATCTAAACAATGTATTTATATGTGTCAATGATTCAGTATGTTGAAGATCACTGGGCAACAAGCGACAGCATTTAAGTAACACACCTGTTGTGAAAATATGACTATTTGCTGTATCCTGCCTTTGCAAATTTAATAATCTACATTGATGTCACCATTTTTGGGTATTTAATGTCATTTATCTGCACAGCTATTCATCTGTATTTGATTGTATTCTTTTTACTCATTTCTATACAGATTACAACTTATCTCAAATTCATCATATCAGAAAATTAGAATATTACTGAAGACCAATAAAAACAAAGGATTTATAGAAATGTTGGCCAACTGAAAAGTATGAACATGAAAAGTATGAGCATGTACAGCACTCAGTATTTAGTTGGGCCTCCTTTGGCCTGTATTACTGCAGCAATGCGGCGTGGCATGGAGTCGATCAGTCTGTGGCACTGCTCAGGTGTTATGATAGCCCAGGTTGCTCTAATAGTGGCTTTTAGCTCTTCTGAATTGTTGGGTCTGGTGTATTGCATCTTCTTCTTCACAATACCCCATAGATTTTCTATGGGGTTAAGGTCAGGAGAGTTTGCTGGCCAATTAAGAACAGGGATACCATGGTCCTTCAACCAGGTACTGGTAGCTTTGGCACTGTGTGCAGGTGCCAAGTCCTGTTGGAAAATGAAATCTGCATCTCCAAAAAGTTGGTCAGCTGCAGGAAGCATGAAGTGCTCTAAAACTTCCTGGTATGTGGCTGCGTTGACCCTGGACCTCAGAAAACACAATGGACCAACACCAGCAGATGACATGGCACCCCAAACCATCACTGACTGTGGAAACTTTACACTGGACTTCAAGCAACGTGGATGAAGTGCCTCTCTTCTTTTCCTCCAGACTCTGGGACCTTGATTTCCAAAGGAAATGCAAAATTTACTTTCATCAGAGAACATGACTTTGGACCACTCACCAGCAGTCCAGTCCTGTTTCTCTTTAGCCCAGGCAAGACGCTTCTGACGCTGTCTGTGGTTCAAGAGTGGCTTGACACAAGGAATGCGACAGCAGAAACCCATGTCTTTCATACGTCTGTGTGTGGTGGTTCTTGAAGCACTCACTCCAGCTGCAGTCCACTCTTTGTGAATCTCCCCCACATTTTTGAATGGGTTTTGTTTCACAATCCTCTCCAGGGTGCGGTTATCTCTCTTGCTTGTACACTTTTTTCGACCACATCTTTTCCTTCCCTTCGCCTCTCTATTAATGTGCTTGGACACTGAGCTCTGTGAACAGCCAGCCTCTTTAGCGATGACCTTTTGTGTCTTGCCCTCCTTGTGCAAGGTGTCGATGGTCGTCTTTTGGACAACTGTCAAGTCAGCAGTCTTCCCCATGATTGTGTAGCCTATAGAACTAGACTGAAAGACCATTTAAAGGCTTTTGCAGGTGGTTTGAGTTAATTAGCTGATTAGAGTGTGGCACCAGGGGCCATCAATTTTGAACCTTTTCACAATATTCTAATTTTCTGATATGATGAATTTGAGATTTTCATTTGTTGTCATTTGTAATCATCAAAATTAAACAAAATAAACATCTGAAATATATGAGTTTGTATGTAATGTATGAATATAATATACAAGTTTCACTTTTTAAATGGAATTACTGAAATCAATCTACTTTTTCATGATATTCTAATTTTATGACCAGCACCTGTATGTACCGGAAGTAGTTAGTATCCAGGCTGTTAAGGCAGTACAGAGGATTTTTGCCCTTCTTGCTTGCACTGCCCACAAACAGTTTGTTTTCTATTTCAGAAACCATTTCTAAATTGAACAACAACAAGAAAAAAAATTATATAAAGTGTGATTGAATAATGTTTAAGTTCCATTAAAACTAACTCAATGAGCTAATGTAAATGTACCTGTTAGAAACTCTTTACTTAGAGCGCCTGTGTCAATGCCTGATTCCCCAAAAAAAGAAACCTTCAGTCGGCAGTTTGGACGGGATTTTTTCTGGCATTGCCACTGTTGCATTCCTCTACTAAAGAGATCAAATCTTGACACACAAAGGGAAAATGTGCAGCTGTCGTCCACTTGGCCGCTGATCCAGTTCAAGATTTCCTCTGAGCTAAAAAAATTATATAACAAGAAATGTGTTAAATTATGCTCCTGAAAAGGAAAAGGGCTTTTGTTCTGATAAACTAAATATATGCAACATCAACAGCATGGAAGTGACATACATTTTAAAGGAATAAAGGTCACTTAACTTAATAAATTTATATCCATGGGGTAGCCGAGGGTTCTATTTCACATAAAATAATATCATGTCCTACTACACATTAGTAGCACTCATGCAGTCCTTGATGACTAGGAATCCATTACAATTTCCCTGACACAAAGCAGTCTAAAAATCTATTAAATATAATGTCTACAAGAAGGGACGAAGCAGACAAGACATCTTGAAGAATATTATAGTCCTTCAGTGTCTGTAGCAAGATGCTGCAGATCTTTTCTGGTCTGTAGTGTGTTGTTTCTACTGTCATTTTCTGTAGAGGCAGAATCAGATGCAATTGACATAAAGCATCAGGGTAACATAGTTGAAAAAAGCTTGTTGAGCTTCATCCAAAAAGAAAGCTAGCTCTGTTCTGGGGAATATCTGGAGATGATTTTACAAGGAAGTATTATTCATAAAACGAAGAACATTGTGGACAACCATGGGCATGTTCTTCATCAGACTGTCACACAACAACAGAGTGTCTTCAGTGAAACCACTACAAGAGATCCTTCCTGCATGCAGCCATGCACAGCTTATTGAAAAAACTCCAATAAAAGGAGTTATACAAACATTTGAGTTGTTCATTGACAGCAAATAAGTTAGGAGTGGGAAAACTGTTAAAGAAATATTACAAACACTTTCTGAAAGAATAATGTAAAAATATTATGCATTCTTTTGCTAGAAATTGAATCAAAATATAACTAATTGGAGCTCCCGTCTTTAAATAATGCATTTTGCTCTATAAATATGGCGAAATGGAGTTTTGTTTTTGTTTACCTTTGAAAGTAGTTACTCTCATCCTCTCAGGTGCTTATATTGCATTCTTGGTTTGAAGATCTGTAGGAATAATAATTAGAATTCATATATGAATAAATCACTGACTACATGAAATGTTTTTAAAAAAAAAATCCTGGTGAAGTACCGTATTCCACAGTCTGATGCATGGGTCTCAATGGCATCAGTGCTGAATATACCTCCGCACACTGGACACTCAGTAGTCTAAATGACACTGAATGTACATAAAAAAGTTAAATTAATAATTCAAACAGACAACCAGCAAACAAAGCATCTCACCATCTCTGTCTGATGTTTTGTCCTTAATGGAGATTCATTGTCCTGAGTGAAGCTTTCCTAATTATAAAACATACAAATATAAATGTAATCAATTATTTGGTTAATTACAGCCAACACTTTATTACTTATAGGCAGTATGTCACATACATTCTCAGGGGAGCTGCTGAGATAAATCATTTCCTCTTTGCAGCTCTTGATGTGAAACGGAAGAGCTTGGAGTGGTACCATGTTGTTGCAGGTGGTGCATGGAGCTTTAGGCATGTTTTCAAATTCTTTTGCATCTGGTGGTAATGGAGAAGTTTCAATTTGTTCCTGTAGAGGAGTTATGTACAGTGTACATTTTCCATTTCCACTAACGGTCTTCAGTTGGTGCCCACTATAACCATCAGAATCAGGAGGAATAACAACTAATCTGCGCTGCCCACCACCACCTAGAAATGTTAAACATTTACAGACATCATTTACTCAACTGTATGCACATTCACCGAGTTAAACTGGTTGTACAACATGAGTTTAACAGTTTATGTTTCATTACAACATACCTGTAGACTTGTATAGCAACCAGCCACCATTGATGCTTGCAGGCCTTGGAAATGCATTAAGCAACAAATCTGTCAGCTTATACAAAAAAAGTTCAGTTACTAGTCAATATCATACATATAACAAATACAATTATTTTCTACATTTTCTATTCCGTAACCCAAGGAGAGGTCACTGATTTGCAATATATATAATTATATGGGGAAATTCAGCCAAGACATCGGCTCATTCAGTTATCACAGGATGCAGAAAAAGTCAGTGGTTAGAATAGCTCCAACACCAAAAAGAAAGAAAGAAACAGATTATAGTTTAGTCTACTATACTTAAAGAAGAATTATCTCTGTATGTGTTAAACTCTCTGTTACTGAGAGAGAACGTTTACCCAGACCAGCCAATATAAGCTGGAGTTTTTCGTCTCCTTTGGGGGTTTTGGAACGTTGTTTCTCAAGGAGAAAAAAGTTCACCAGAAAACTTTTTTTTGGTCGGGTATACAGTGTAAAACGTCTTTTCCCTTTTGTCTCTCGGCGAAAAAGTCCAGGAAATGATCTGAAAAAATGATGATGATGATGTTTATACAGCTTATTTTATTCAATATCAAATTTAAATTGACAGAAATGCAGAAGATCAACACAGACCGCAGGCTTGCTACACAAGCTAACTAAGATGAAACTTACCGAGCCATTTCTTGATGAACTGAACCACTGCGCTGAGGACATCTTAGCTGTCCTGACTGTGGACCTGTCTCTGTTTGCCTCGACTGTCCCTCAACAGACTGTCTTTCACTTTCTTGTGCAACTGGCCTCACAGTCCCTGAAGAGCCTAACCTTCGGTTTAATAATGACACAAGACTGTGTGCCGTGTTTAGGATATCCGCTAACTGTACCTCACAGAAAGTTCAATAAAGTTAGATGTCTGAATATCAACTACAGACATAAAGATTCTTTCTTTCTTTCTTTCTTCTTGTTTAATGGCGGTTGACAAGCAACTTATTGGTGTGCATTACCGCCACCTACTGGTAAGGAGTGTGGATCAGGACGCAACCTAAAAAAAAAAAAAAAAAAAAAAAAAAAAAAAACTAAATCCTTTCTATCAGTTTAGTTTTCTTAAGAAATCTTAATAAATGACGTAAATATTCAGAAGAGGAGCAATATCCCAACATATCTGATATTTTTAACTGTAACTTATTCTTTAGAAGTCGATATTCTAATTTCCTTCTCTCCTCAGAGTACTTTGGACAAAACAACAAAACATGTTCTACTGTCTCTTCTTGAAAACAAAATTCACAATTTCCTGATGGATGTCTTCCCATTATAAATAATGTACTGTTTAAGCCTGTATGACCAAAACGTAACCTGGATATTATATTATCTTCTTTTCTACTTCTTCCTGTTCCCCTCATTACCCCAACTTTCCTTTGAATGCTATAAATCATCTACCAGTTCTTTCCTCCTCCCACTGCTTCTGCCATCTTTCCTTAACCTTTTGCTTTATAATAGATTTTATCTCCTCTTTACTAAATGGAATCAGTATCTCAATGCAACTGTTTTTTGAAGCTTGTTTTGCATATCTGTCTGCCAATTCATTTCCTATTACTCCTATATGAGATGGAACCCATGTAAAAATGACAATTAATCCCATGGTCTGAATTCTATAAAGTATTAACTGAATCTCCAATAGAAGGTCTGGTCTACTATTGGAATGATTATTTTTATTTGAATATAACGATGAGCTTGAATCAGAGCAAATTAAACTTCTTAGAGGACGAACATCTTCAATCCAACTCAAAGCCAAAATAATTCCCATCATTTCCCCTGTAAACACTGATACGTCATCAGAAATCCTCTTACATTTTTTAATATTAAACTCTGGGACGATAAATGACACCCCATTGTTGTTACTTAGGCTTTTAGATGCATCTGTATACACTTGAACATAACCAAAATATTTATTTTCTATATATGATTGGACTGAGCAAGATTCTGAAAAATGTCCTTTTTCCCTCTTCTTCAACAATGATAAGTCAACAATGATTTCATTACATAGAGATGGATGAACCAGTGGCAGAGGAACTGTACCACTCATTTTTATGGATGATAACTGAACATTTTTAACATCATTTTCTATCTCCCAACCAAAGGATTTTAAAGTCTTTTTCCCTTTTTCCCAACTAGGTTTTAAAATTTCTTGACATGGATGGTTTTTATAATGACCCTTTAAATAACTCCAGTCAGATAATCTTAACTGTAACCTTCTAAGGTAAAGTGGTATTTCCCCCATTTCAACTAACAGAGCTGAGATCGGAGTTGTTCTGATGGCTCCTGTACACAACCTCAAGGCTTGAAACTGAATAATATCTAATTTTTTAAGAAGTGTTTCTGATGCTGATCCAAATGCCAGACTGCCATAATCTAATACAGATCTTATTAAGCCCGTATATATTGATTTTAACGCTTTCCTCTCAGCACCCCACTCTCTCCCCACCAAACACCTCATAACATTTAAAACTCTCTTACACTTGTCCACTACTTTTTGAATATGACTACTCCAGGTCAGTTTTTCATCCATCCACAAACCCAGAAACTTAAACTCCTTTACTCTTTCTAAATCATGTTTATACAAATACAATTTTAAATCACTAGATACTTTCTTCCTAGTGAAAAATAAAGTCTTTGTCTTATCTATTGAAATTTTAAAACCCCAATTATATGACCACTCTTCTATACTATAAATTGTTTCTTGTAATTTTTTAACTATAAATTTCAAGTTCTTACCTCTCTTCCAGATTGCTCCATCATCAGCAAATAATGAACAACCCATCCCACTCTCTAACTTATCAAACATATCATTAATCATAATAGAGAAAAACAAAGGACTCACAATACTTCCTTGAGGTGTTCCGTTTTCAACAAAATATTTTTCTGACAATTGTTGACCTATTCTTACTTGTATAGATCTATTATGTAAGAAATCTTTTATCCAATTAAACATTGATCCTCTAACCCCCATTTTTCTTAATTTAATTAAAAAACCTTCTTTCCACATCATATCATAGGCTTTCTCTATGTCGAAGAAGACAGCCACCACACTCTCCTTATTAACTTGTCCTTTTCTGATTTCATGTTCTAAACACAAAACAGGGTCCATAGTACTTCTACCTTTTCTGAATCCACTCTGAAATTTTGACAAAAACCCCTTTTTCTCCACAAAATAACTCAGCCTTTCATTTATCATTCTTTCCATTATTTTGCATATATGTGATGTCAAAGCAATGGGCCTATAGCTTGTAGGATTTGACTTCTCTTTCCCTGGTTTTAAAATTGGAACTATAATTGCTTCCTTCCATGCCACAGGTAAATAACCCTCTTCCCATATCTTATTAAAGAAATCTAATAATATCTTTTTAGATGAATTACTAAGTTTTTTAATCATAATATAAGAGATATTGTCTTTTCCTGGAGAAGAATTTTTTGTTTTCCTTAAAGAGTTGTTCAATTCAAATAATGAAAAGGAATTATTCAATAGATCATTATATTCTGTATCTACTTCTAATAAATTACTATTTTCCTTAATAATAGAAGCTCTTTTCCTTATTTCTTCTACATTTAAGTTTTTGCTACTATGTATTTCAACAAATTTCCTACCCAGCATATTTGCCTTGTCCTCATCATTTAGAGCCATTTCATCTCCATTCTTAAGAACTGGATAACCATATTCCCTTCTAATTCCATTCATTCGTTTAATCATTCCCCAGATTTTTGAAATATTTGTTTCCCTTCCTATTGAATTACAGAAATTTCCCCAATAAACCCTTTTAGCACTTTTTACTGTTCTTTTAACCAAAGCTTGTGACTTTTTATATGCCAACAAATTCTCAAAATTTTGATTTCTCTTTAACAGTCTAAAAGCTTTATTTCTAGATTTAATTGCCAAATCACATTCCTTTGTCCACCATGGAACTATTTTTCTCTTATATTTTCCTTTTTTCTTTTGAATCGTTCCTTGGGCCGCTCCTAAAATAGCTTCGCAGATAGAAGAATTTATGCTATCTATATCCAAATTTAAATTAACCTTTAGCATTTTTCCATCACTTATTATTTTATATTTTTCCCAATCAACATTTTTAAAATTTAATTTTTCTATATTTTTGTTAACAACTTTCTCTATTTCTAAACCGATTTCAATAACAATAGGATAATGATGACTTCCTAATGTTGATTCTTTTAAAACTTTCCAATTACTAATCCCAGCAAAATTGGCTGATACTAGAGTTAGATCTAGAGCTGATTCATTTCCATTTCTAATATCAATTCTTGTCCCTTCTCCATTATTAATACAGACCAATTGTTTCTTATCCATTATTTGTTCTACCACTTCTCCGTTTTCATCATTTTTATGACCCCATACAGTGCTAAAAGCATTAAAATCTCCACAACAGATTAGACTTTTTCCTAGATTTTTAAACATTTCCTCTATTTCATCTAAACTCAGTTTTTTACAGGGATTATAAAAGTTTATTATCCTAATATGTTCTTTGTTAATCCAAATTTCCACAGATACCCATTCTAAAGATGATCCTTTATCTACAAACCTATATTGAATCCCTTGCTTAACAAATATTATACAACCTCCTCCATTTTCTTTCTCCCTATCCCTTCTAATGCTATCATATCCCGAAATCACAAAATCTAGATCTGGTCTAAGCCATGCTTCCTGAACACAAATAATATCTGGTTTAATTTCCAAACAGTTTATATATCCTTTCAATTCTTGACCATTTGCTATTAAACTTCTTGCATTCCATTGTAAGATAATCATTGAGTTTTTCCTCCACCTTGCTTTCCATCCATTTCAAGCCTTTTATTTATTAGTTCCCAAGATAAATCCTTCACGGCCAAAAAATTTTCTGCACCTTTCACTATAATTTTTATTTTTTCTGTTTTACTTGATCAGTACAGTTGATTACATATGCCATGAATAATATTAATTTATCCATTGTGATCTCCATTCCAGATTTGGAAGTTTGGCTGGGGTCAGCACTTGTGCTAGACATTACTTGTTGACTTTTCTGAACCATTCTTTTCTCTTGAACACTTTTTGCTGCCTCTGCATAAGTGATGTTTTTAATTGTTCTCAGCTGTTGAATTTCTGCTGCCCTTTTCCTTGCCTCACAACCTCCATATGCCACATTATGTTGACCCCCACAGTTACAGCATTTCATTTGTACATCCACTCCACATTCATCATATCGATGATCTCCTCCACATTTGGCACATCTTTGTTTCCCCTTACATACTGCTGCGATATGACCATACCTTTGGCATTTAAAACATCGCAAAGGGGGAGGAACATATGGTCTTACAGGAAAACTCATAAATCCAATTTTAATTTTATCAGGAAGGACTTCTCCTTGAAACTCCAAAAGAATCGATAAGCTCTCTATTTTTTCTCCATTTACATGCTTTTGCAATCTTTTCAATCTCCGAACTTCTCCCCCCTGTATATTCTTTTTGAGTCTTTCTAAATCCTCCTCCAGCGGAATACCAGTGATAACACCACGTCACACTCTATTTTCTCCAACAATTAGTTTCTCACTAACAACTTTTTTGCAAATGTTGTCAATCTGCATGCATTTATTCTTTTGATCTTCAGATCTGCATTTTATCAACATGTTTCCATCTCGTAATGTTTTAACAAATTCCACTTCCCCTAGTTTCTTTTTTATTTCCCTTGAGACTTGAATCGGGCTCAGGTTAACATTTATATCTTCGTTCCTGAATTTAAGTATTACCTTAAATTCTTCGTTTGTTACTTTTTTCCTGACTGCTCTGTTTTCTTCATCAGAGCTGTACTCTTCCAAACTTCGTTTACTGTTCTGGCTACCAATTACTCTATCCTCTCTCAGAACCTTCGCCTTCCCTCTACCTCTTCCTCTTCCTACCGATGTCCACTCATCAAAATCCATGTCATCCTCACCAACATAAAGATTTAAGTTACAAATGTTAAAGATTACCTGGCTTTGCTCCGTAGCTTCCTGGTCCGTCATCTTGCCGCTACTAAGTTGAAAGAACACATAGTACGCATGCGCGGCTCCTATCTTCCTGCTCTGTGCTCCATTAACCAGCCTTGGAAACCGTGACGTCAGACCACTGCTGTGAATTCGTATTCTCAAAGAAAAAATCCGTATTCTCAAACAGCCGCTGCTGTTTGTGTTCATAAAGAATAAAGCACAAATTTAAACTAGAAATTTGTATTTATTAGTTATTGAAGTTGTAACTATTTAAACTGTATGTTGCATGTTTTGAATGAGATTTCAATTATTATGAGTTTACAAATTTTTGTTATGCACAACTTCTGACTAAAATGCACACAACTATGCTTTTATGCACAAGTTTATTTTGACAGTGATCTTACCTCATACAGGTGTGATTATTAAAAGCGTTTATTAATATACTTTGGATCTGTAACTGAGCAGCACCAAAGGCCGTAATCTCTGTAGAGGGAAAACTCAGGTTAATGACCACGTAAATCTGACAGAGGACGATTGTGAGCGTGTGAGTCACTAACCTGGTTTGAAAGTTCAGCCCGAGCCTAAAGGAAGGAGTGGAATCCAGCCAGATGGCTGTGAACAGCACGCGGTGGAGGAAGGCAGGACTTTCCAGAAGACGTAGCCAAAGCTAGCGTCGTAGAGTTTAACAGGAGCCTAGCCCAGAAGGTGAGGTAATGAGGGAAAAATCCAAGTCAAAGTCAGGTTCAGTCCACAAGCAGAAACCAGCGGGAGTCCAAAGACAGGTCAGGCAAACGAATCTGAAACGGGAACAGGCAGTCTCAAAGGTCAGAAAGACAGAATAGGTCAGGATCAGGCAATCAGAACAACAAACAGGTACAGTAGAGAATTCTCACCAAAGGCTCGCATAATATGGCACTGATGACTGGGAGCAAGCAGTTTAAATAGAGACTAGAGCAGATGACACAGATGATCAGTGATGGGAAACTGGGCGGAGCTAGACAGGTGAATGGAATGAACAATTAAGCCAGTCATCAGTGCCAAAATCAGAATCAGATATACTTTAATAATCCCAGAGGGAAATTACTTTTGTTACACGCTCCAGTTACAGTTTTACATAATATATACACACATCCAACTATACAATATAATAAAGATAAAAAAATAAGATAAAAAATAAGAATAAAAAGTGATAAAATATATACAAATATAGCTCATCTGTATATATATATGTACGTATATCTAAGCGTACATCATGACAGAATCATGACAGAACAGGCTAGCTGTTAGCCTCATTCTATAATTCCCTCCTTAATCAGAGGTTGCTGAGTATTTTTACTATTGTTTTTCTTTTGGAAATGTCTTTTAAACCTTTTTTTGGGGAGTCATGTTTTCCACAGTTGAAATTAGGTCGAAGCCGTGCCTGGATCCCTGTAAAGGTGACTGCACACCTAATGTGAATTTCTTGACATTTCAGCTTTGTAATGCAGACACTTCAATGAAACTCCGCCCATCTAGTTTCACAGCATCATCAAACAGGAAGGACGTCTATCCTCTATCTCCCTTTTCCCCTGTTTCCTCTGTGTGAAATTTCGCTCTGATTGCTGTATGTGCACTCGAAACGCATCCTTCAGATGGCTGACTGTTTAGTCGCTCCTTGTACTGTAAAGATCGTTCCCATTGCATCCCATTCCCTCTCACCCCCTTGTAGTTCAGTGGGAAGTGACAGTGTTGTTCTTGGACTGCTTCTGCTTCTCTGATTAATGCTCTCCCTGTTTTTGCTCTGTGGAACCCTCCCAGCTCTGTCTTTACGAAAACCTTAAGCTGAAATCTGTTCGTATAAAAAAGGTCTTATTCTCAAAAAAAGCTGAAATAGTTTGTGTTGTTTTTTTTGTTTTTTTACTTCATAGGACGACATATTGTGTGGAATGAGTTTACTCGGACTGGTGTAATTTTTGTCATTATTAGAGATTCAATTAAATTCAGTTTATTTATATAGTTCCAATTCACAACATATTTAATCTCAAGGCACTTTACAGTTCCTCAGATCATGCAGGTCAAATTGATTCAAGTTTTCTATCTTAGAAAAACCAGTTGATTGCATCGACTCATTGACTGGAAGGCAATCCCTCCCACCAGCTCCCATGTCAGAGGATGAAGAGAGCACATCCAGTTAGTCACAGTCAGAGAAACAGGACTACACTGGAAAACAGGCCAAGCTCCAACATCTAGAAACAAAGGTGTTGATGGCAGCAGCACAACTGATATTTCTCTCCAGGATGGAGTCACAGCCAAACAGGAACAGACCAGATGAAGCTACTATGAGAAAAAGCAGAGAGAGCAGAACGTTAGAGATTGAACTAACAGATTCTGCAGAGTGGGAGAATAGAGATAGAATGAAGCAGAATGATGAAAAAGGGGTCCCTATGTCCTCCAGCAGTCTAAGCCTATAGCAGCAGAACTATAGAGATAGCTCAGGATAACCTGAGCCACTCTAACTATAAGCTTTATCAAAAAGGAAAGTTTTAAGCCTAGCCTTAAAAGTAGACAGGGTGTCTGCCTCACGGACTAAAACTGGTAGTTGGTTCCACAGGAGAGGAGCCTGAGAACTAAAAGATCTGCCTCCCATTCTACTTTTAGAAATTCTAGGAACCACTAGTAAACCTGCAGATTGAGAGCGAAGTGCTCTGTTAGGAACATAAGGAACAATCAGATCTCTGATATCAGATGGAGCTTGGCCATTTAAGGCTTTATATGTGAGAAGGAGGACTTTAAATTCTATTCTGGATTTAACAGGAAGCCAATGAAGAGAAGCCAGGATAGGAGAGATATGATCTCTCTTTTTCATTTTCATCAGAACTCTGGCTGCAGCATTTTGGATCAGCTGAAGGCTTTTAACTACAGTTTGTGGACTTCCTGATAGTAAAGAATTACAATAGTCCAGCCTTGAAGTAACAAATGCATGGACTAGTTTCTCAGCATCACCCCTGGACAGGAGATTTCTATATTTTTGCAATATTCCTCAGATGAAAGAAGGAAAGAGATAAACAGCAGCTTCATCTTTCCTTAGTTACTGTTTCATTTAATCCTTTGCGGCCACATCAATCCTTTCCTCGCATGTTTTGGTCTCAAAGTCTTTTTCAATCTCTCCCCTGTTAGAAAATATTCTGTAAGACTGAAGAAAAAAATCCACTTCTTTGCTTCAAAGAAATGTGAAGGTTTACACTTGAGGTGCAGAGCATCACTGTCCTTCCTCCCTACCTTGGCTAATTTCCACAATGCCAGATTGGATTGTAGAAGTGCTGAAAAAGAAACAGCCACTGCAAATTCTGACTTACTAATGGAAGTTATTTACCAATAAAATCTCTCACGCCTGTGATTCCTATTCCTCAGCTTCTGTTATTCTCAAAATCATCTGGCAAAGATCTAAAAACACAGAAGTAGAAAATGGAGAAAACATTTATGTCAGTCTTTACATTTGTCCAAATCGTTAAGCTCAATCTTCTACCATACTTAATAAAATGTCATGATTATAAAAGGTGTCTCGGTTTTAGCATTGGGAGTCGGATCAATGCGTTTTTCCTTTAACCAAAGACGACATATTGGTGTTTCCACTAGCAGCGGGACGCCTTCGATTTGATCTCTGCCAGCTGTAGCTTAGTGAAGGTTTAAAGTCTTGGGTTCTTGGTTGGTTTCTGAATTCTCCCAGTGGTGCCCCACTTTACACGAGTGAATAAAGTGAATGTGATTGGTCGTTTACCAAGGGGGCAGGATTTTTGTGGCGGAAGGTTTGCAAGCAACTTTGGTTGTGGTCGGTTTTTCTGAAGCATCTTGCTAACCAGTTAGCATCTTAGTGCTAGCAGGTTCCCAATGGGAAATTCCATTGGGACCAAGTAGCACTAAATTGGTGACTTAGAAACGACGCTGTCAAGGAACGCTATGGACAGCGGAAACATGCAAGAGGAGGAGAGTTTAGTGTCGGAGGTCGTGGATGAGTCTCCTCCGTCATCCATTTTTTATTTAGAGGAGGAAAGCAGGGACGAAGATGTTGTGGAAGAGGACGCCAGGGCGGCAGAAGCTTGGTTTGGTGTAGAAGGCTTCCAGCCGTACATGTTTGAGCCCTTGCCTCGCAACGCTGCCAGTTCTGTTAGCTCTACGCCTGCCGAAGACACAGACGTCCATCCCCGTGAACACTGGGACGCAACTCAATGGGAAAGGAAAGGATTCTGATTTCAACCGTTGCGTATATTAGCTGCGACACATGAATCAAGATGCTATGACCAAAAACATTTGATTGACAGATGGCCGTTGATATATGATTGGCCGAAATTAGGTGTTCAGGCTGACGTAGAACTAACTGGCCTGCAGAAGATAAAGGAAAAAACAGACAGGATTTTTTTTTTAAACTGAAATTTTCTAAATTTTTGTCACAATATCGTCTGATAAAGAGTAGATTTATATACATGTTTAAGCCAGAATGATTTGACATTCAAATATGATTTCCCTACAACTTTAATCTAAACAGGGGGGTGATTTACCATTAGGCTATACTAGGCAGGTGCCTAGGGCCCCAAGTTCCTGAGGGCCCCATTACTCTCTGCTTAGATGTATGGTTAATACAACTATTCGTTCTTTGCGAACATTAATTATGTTTTTAATAAAAATCCTTTGGCTAAAATGCCATCAGAACGCTGATAATATTAAGTGTGTCTCACCACCCCCCCTTCAGTGTCCACCATATTGGATCAGTCCATTTGCTGCACATGTTCAGAAAGGTCCAAACAGACAGCAGCAAACCATTTGAAAACAAACCATGCAAAGAGCAGTGTTGCCAACTTAGCGCTTTAGTCGCTATATTTAGCCACTTTTCAGACCCCTCTAGCACTTTGATTTCTAAAAAGCTCCTAGCGCCAAATCCAGCGACTCAGGAGTGGAAGCTTAATAAACCAACCAGGCCGTGTCCTTATTTCTGCTGAGTCATCATTTTCCTTCACTAAAGACTTTGCATTTTTCTTTTGCTAACCTTCCACTATTGGCCCCACGTCTCAGGACAGTCACCCATCTCTCTGCTACTGAAACCAACATATTGCTTAAAGTCTTGTTTAGGGAAGAAGATGCTCTCAATCTAAACTCTAAATG